ATAACTTTGATGTAAAATGTTTGGTGAAAGTGATACGCGAACAAAATGTTTCATTTATTAAATAGGAAGATTACCAATTTAATAATAACAAAACAATTATTGACATAAACTAATCAATTAATCACGTATTTACATACTCAGACGTTAGAATCACAAACCAATAAAAGTTGTTATTTGAACGCATATAATCGTGAAGAAGAAATTATAATTACAACCTATTATTTGAAGATAATCCAAAAAAAATCACTTAGTTATCAAGGCGATAAAATCCATACTAGCAAAAACCCAAAAACAAGAATAAAAAAACAAATCATCGAGCATGTACAATAAAAATCAGTGAATCGTGCTAACTATATGGAGAAGATGAAAGCCATGAAAGTCGTATATAACAATCAAACTGGCAGCGGTGGAGACGCAGAGGAGAATAGCAATGATGGTGGAAAAAAAATACGGACGAGTCCCTTTTACCTATTCATTTTTCGAGGTATAAAAATCGAATTTTTGTGTACCCTTTTGTGCAGGCGGCAAGCAAAGGGGAATTACAGTAGAGGCGACGTTACCGGAAAGCGAGAAAGAAATATGCCAACGGGCGGTATCATTCGCAGGTTGTCTTTCACCGCCACTTCTTCAAGTTTTCAATCGTGACGTTAATCTGCAACTGATGGCAAAAGAAAAGAAGAACATGATGGTGCCACGTGATTGTGATACATTAAATTAACAAAATTAGAGTAAAAATTAAAATAAAATTAATACAAATTATAAAAGGATTTAATTTTACATATTTATTTAAATCAATGATTATAATTTTAAAGCTTAATTAATTTATAACCGTGGTTCCCACGGGTTATAAATTATTAAATGAGTAAGTTTATTCTCTTATTAACAAGTGTCATTATATTAGAACTCCTCATTAATACTATATATATATATATATATATATATATATATATATATATATATATATATATATATATATATATATACATATATATATATATATTGAAACGGCGAATAATATTAATAAAAACGAACCACTACTAGCAAGTAACTAGCAGGGGAACGGAAGTACAAGGTCGAAGCAGAAACATACATGGAATGATATATATTATTATGAACTTAAAGTGTAAATGGAGACGCGGTCCAATTATCCCAATCACCTATTCCTTCATTGCCCCTGTACTTTGTCCAGAAGTACACCATCGACTTAATTGCCCCTGCACCATAAATGGGAGTATGAAATACTCCATTGAACATCCGCTCATTCCTAAGTTTCCACAGGTTCCAGATTAGGCCATGACATATGTTGAGGAATCTTATCGCTTTTCTTGGGTTGCTTCCCCAATTTTCTGCAAAAATGATTAATTCTCCAACTGATGAGAACCCAACCTGTTGTAAACCACACCATTTGAAAATAATCTTCCTGACTTCACATGCGAATGGACATTGTACCAGGATATGATCAGAGCATTCCAATTTGTTAACACAAGCGCCACAATTATCATTTTCTATATCAACCCCTTTGCATTTCAATGCCACTGCGGATGGAATCTTCCTTTGCATTGCTCTCTATATAAAACAGTTGACTTTGATCGGAGTTACCTTACTCCATTTAAAAGTTGGTAAAACACGATTAGGGTATTGTAAATGTTCCAATTTTTTCCTTAGCAAGCTAACAGTGAACTGGATGTCATTATCTAGTGCACAAGCCCATTGATCTTCTCCTGGTTCCAAATGTACCCTAGATAAGTCGTTTTTGATATTATTGATGCACCTAATTTCGGTGTAATCAATCACGTTGGTTTTCCAATGAGCTTCAAATTGATTGTCTATAAATCTGTCAAACACCAAACATTTCTTCCTAGATTCCAACTCAAACAAAGATGGGTATTTTTCTTCAAGTGTAACCGGGCCTAACCATTTATCATACCAAAAAAGTGAATTATCACCGGATTTGATGTTTAATTGAAAAACATCCATAGTGTCCAACCCAACTTTTTTGAGATCATTCTTGCATGCTGCAATGTTGTTCCATACGCCACTTATTTTCGGATTTGAAAGATAATCATGAGGTTTGTTGTGAAGATTATGAATACCTTTTACAACTTTAACCCAAAGAGAGTTTTTGTCAGTTTTAAATCGCCACCACCATTTTACTAGCAAGCTAGTATTCAAGGTACGAATAGTTCCCACTCCTAGTCCTCCTTCAGATTTGGGAGCAACAACTTTGTCCCAAGACACCTAATGGATTTTCCTTTTGCTGTCATCTCCACCCCATAAGAATCTCCGTCTAATTTGATCAAGTTTATCCGTGACAGCCTTCGGTGCTTTGAACATAGAGAAGAAGTAAGTGGGAAGATTCCCCAGGACCGAGGTGATTAGAGTTAATCTACCCCCGAATGAGAGTGTCTTTGATTTCCATGCAGATAACTTGGCTTGGAGTTTATCGATGATAAGTTTCCAGTTTTTGCACAAATTCATATTTTCTCCAATCGGAATTCCGAGATAGTTAAAGGGGAATGAACCCGCTTCACACCCAAGAATGCTAGCCCAGTTCTCAGTTTCTCTAATTGAGGTTCCAATTCCAAAAACCTTTGATTTATGGAAATTGACTTTGAGGCCCGAGGATGCGTTAAAACATTTTAGAATGTTGGCTAAGTTTTTTAGGTTGGATCTGGACCACTCACCCACGAATAAGGCATCATCCGCGTAAAACATGTGTGATAGGGTGGGGCCGTGATTTGGGATTTGGATGCCTTTGAAGATACCGTTTACCTTTGCAGCTTCGAGCGCTACATTGAGGCCTTCCATGGCAATGATGAAGAGGAAAGGGGATAAAGGGTCTCCTTGTCGAACTCCTTTAGATATTCCAAACTCACAAGTTGGTGAACCGTTGATTAACACTGAGGCCCGGGATGAGTGGAGGCAGCCACGGACCCATTGTCTCCATTTACTCCCACAACCCATTTGTGAGAGTACCGAATCAAGATATTCCCAGTTGATGGAATCGAAGGCTTTGTCAAAATCAACTTTGAACATTAAAATCTTCCTTTTAGCCACTTTTGACCAAGAAATTAGTTCATTTATCATTAGTGGGCCGTCTAGGATACTCCTGCCTTCTACATACGCTGACTGTACATCTCCAATAAGATCCCCGATAACAGATTTAATTCGGATGGCAAGGATTTTCGAAATGATTTTAGACATGCATCCCATAAGGCTGATGGGCCGGTAATCTGTGAGAGAGATGGGATCTTTGACCTTAGGAACTAGTGATATGAAAGTAGAATTGCAACCTCTAGCAAAAGTCCCAAATTTGTCAAAGTGCAAAACGAATTTCATTACATCATCTTTAATAATCTCCCAGTAGGTCTTTATAAATTTGAAAGTTAAACCATCAGGACCTGGCGCCTTTTCGCTTCCGCAGGCCCAAACTGCATCTTTTACTTCTTTATGGTTGAACGGAGCTTCTAGTTTAATAGCCTGCATCATTGTGATAGATTTGAAATGTGGGCTAATGAGCTTGGGTCTCGAAGTCCTGGTCTCCGTGAATTTGTTTTTTAAGAACTGGAAGGCTGCGTCTTTAACCTCATTGGCATCTGAGGTCCATTTTCCATTTAACATTAGACCATTAATTCTCTTAGACTTGTTCTTACTGTTTATAAACCCATGGAAAAATTTAGTATTTTCATCTCCTTCAACATTCCATTTCACCCGAGCCTTTTGTTTTAGATCCATCACTACTAGTTTCTCCATTTCGAGAATTTTTTGTAGACCCTGGTTCCTGGCTTCTAATTCTTGATCAGAAAGTACTCGTGACTCAGCAGCCTTTTCAATTCCTGCCACCTCTGATTTAATTTTCAAAATCTCCAGATTTGCCTTTTCGTCTGATTTTTTCTTCCAAACTTTGATTTCATTTTTTAGAAATCTGAGTTTTGCAGCGAGATATGCATCCGGATTACCATACCCATGGAACTCCGCCCAAGCTTTCTTAACTGTATAGTCGAATCCTTCTTGTAATAACCATGAGTTGAATAATTTGAAAGGGGGAGGGCCAAAGTCTGAGGAAGTGCTGATTAGGGTGACCGGAGAATGATCGGATAACTCCCGAGGATGCGCGGTAACAGCTAATGAACGGAAGGCTGATAAGAAGTTCGAGCAGGCTAGAGACCTATCAATTTTGCTCAATTTGGCACCGACCCTGGACATGTATGTGTAGATTTCACCTCCCATCCTAAGATCTTGCAGTTCTGTCTCCTGAATGAACTTGTTAAAATGTTTTGCACTTGCGGGGCAGAAGTTCGAATTGAACCTTTCTTCAGCTCTTCGTACTACATTGAAGTCACCAAAAATGGTCCAGTTACCAGGTTTTGCTTCTTTGATGGCTGATAGTTCGTGCCATAATCTTTTTTGCTCTCCAAGGCTATGAGGCCCGTAAATATTTGCAAGTACTGTGTCGCCTTCAATTCCAATCCACTTGCCAATTATTATTAAGTAATGTCGAGATTTAATAATCTCCTTTTTGGAGAAGCAATTCTTGTTCCAAATAGATAGGAGGCCGCCTGATCTACCACTGGAGTTTACGCCTTCAAAATCAAAATCTAGGGAACCCCAACACCCGTTCACATCAATTCTTTCAAAATCTGTTATTTGTGTTTCTTGTATCCCAACAAAATTAGCTTTGTGTACCTGCTTCAGTTTCCTGACCCACTTAATCTTTGCCTCTTCGCCAATACCTCTGATGTTAAGTGTCATGCAATTCATGGGATAACGATTTTCTCACCAGAATCTGCCTCTGTTTCAGCTAACACTGGGTCGTTAGCATCAATTTGGAATCCGACTGAAATTCCAATCGCAGCTATATCTCTTGCTTCTGTTGAGTGATAGGTTTCAATTGTCACCTCATTATCTCCTACTTCATTCAAGAGATTCACGTATGGGACCATTTTTTCTATGGAGGAATTAGAAATCGCCAATTTTGGTTTGGAGGTAGGAGGAGGAAT